ACCTGCTTTGACCCGAGCAAGTTACACATTTGTGAGCTCCACTGAAGGTGAGAATCATGAAGGAGTAAAATACACCGAATGCAAGCACGGCGAGAACAACACACTAAAAGCTGCAGATTACTTCGATAAATAAATACTAATTTTCCTCAGATTTTCTTATAATAATCTTCATATTTCATGCAAATCATAAAGCTAGTGACTTCTGATGACCAAAACAAACATGAACTCCCATATTCAATGGACAGACAGACACTCGTGCCCTCTTATTTACTGGTTTACGTTGAATAAACACACACACACACACACACACACACACACACACACACACACACACACACACACACACGTGTCTCCATACTCACAATGCAGAACAGCTCTAGTAGCTCCCTCATTGTCCTCCTTAAACGTGTCTTTCTATACACTCACACATGCGTTTGTTCTCCACGATGCATGTATCTGACCCGCCACACGACTGCACACAGAGAGGGAGAGAGAGAGAGAGAGAGAGAGAGAGGGAGAGGGAGAGAGAGAGAGGATGGCACTGTGGTAGTGCCATCCACATGCTCGGAGGAGGAGGAAAAAACAGGAAGAGGAGGGGGAAAGCAGGAGCAGAGAAGAGAGGAATGGACAGATTCCTGAGGGGAGGAAGGCAGATGGGGGAAGGGGTGATGGAGGGGGGAGTGTTGGGGGGGGGGGGGGCTGAGAGGAAAATGTTGTTTTTCTGGTTCATTTTGTCCTCCATCTCTCCTTCCCCCTCTTATCATCTCCTGAGCCTCATTCCTCCGGATCTCTCCTCTCCTCTCTTTGTCATTACTGATAATTATTCCGACTCCCATAATTACTCTCTAACCCCAGTATTTTCTCCCCCCCCCACCCTCCTCACCCTCCTCTCTTTCTGTCTCTGTGGTAAAAATGATCTAAATTAGTCCCCTCCACTGTTCACAGCAGTCAGAGGCAGCAGCCTGCATGTCCAGAGGCATTTCCCGTAATACTGCTGCACTCATCACTCTGCAACTCCTTCAAACACACACATAGACACACATGCATGCAGACACACATGCACACACACACAGACACACACACTCTGGCCGAGACATGAGCACATACTCGGGGATGTGGCACACCAGCAGCGTTACCTGTCCACAGGTGCACTCACATTCTTATGGTGACCAGAAACAAACAGGTGTGTCTGTTCACTGTTGACTATAAACAGAAGTCCACCACGGGGTTTATCCTAATTATTGGAATTCAAATAATCCCACAACACAAAAAGATGATTGTAAAAATCGACATTCGCTAACTGAGAGATAACTACCAGCATGCATTGCGTGGACAGGTAAACAATAAGTAAATGTAGATGGCTGCCAAATAAGAAGAAATGACGATGAGTGGTGTGTGAATTAGGGATGTAACTCAACTACAGTCTGTATATATGAAGTGGACGTAGTCATCGTGACGTCATTGGTTTGTTGATGCCGTTTTGAAGCATCGAGTTCGGCATTTGGTCGTCGCCATCTTGTTTTCTTTGCAACCAGTAGTGACACGAGAGGGTGGAGCTAAGTACAACCGAACGCTGATGAATGAATTCTTAAGCGACCAAAATGTTACAATGAACTTAAAGCAAAGAAAGATAATAGTTTGATTTAACTCATGAGTCATTTGAGTAAGAAGGTGCTTGTTATTATCAATTTAGACGACGTACTTGTGTATTACGATATTTCAATATACGATTTCATCAACATACAACTCCATAGAAATATCTTATTGAATCTAACACACTATAAAACCCTATAAATACTAACCCTAACCCCCTATAAAGCGAATGCTGCGTAGAGAAGGAGTTTCCCATGTACCTCGTTAGAGATGCGCCGATGGTGGTTGTTCCTCATTCGGACCCTCACTGGACTCTGGACCTCATCAGAAGACGTCCCGGACGCCTGGTCGCTCTCCCCATCTGAACCCATCTTCACATTCTCGTGGACGATACCTGAAACACACACAGAGACACAGACAGACTGTTAATGACAACCGCATCTACTAAGTTCACGTTTTGAAACGCATATCTTTTGCTACGTTTAGGCCCAGCGTCCACACTACTCCGGAGTTTTAGAGCACTAGCGATGCCGGGTAAGTTTAAAAAACTCCGGGATTGTGTGGTAGTGTGGACGGGCAGAAACAGAGACCTTTGAAAACGATGACGTAGACACCAACGTTCGCTACTTGATTGGGTTTTAGCAGTCACGACGTGTCCTTCACTGATTCGTCACGCCGGCGTAATAAAACATCATCATTCCTAATCGGCTACCATAACCTGACCTTGTTGTCTTTACCAGCAGCTTTTGTGCCGTTAAATTCAGCATTTTATAATTCTACTACTGTTATTGTAGCGATTAGTGAGCGGCGTGTCCAGCGGTGTTATCAGACCTACGGAGCGGACGTTTGAAGTCACGGTTAGAAGCTTTGAGGAGGACGGAAAGTTCACACAGAAACTGTAAACAAACAAAACCAAAAACGCTCTCCAGTACGACAGAGACTTCAGCTTTAATACCATACGTGAATAGCCATGTGATATTGGTTTTCAGACGTGCTAGTATGGACGGAAATCATTTCGAAAACGATGCTGAAACGCCTGAGTGGACGTAGATCGCTTTCGTTTTAAAACCGCGGTAAACGTATTAGTGTGGATGTAGCCTTAGATTTCATTCACCTGTCTCAGATACATAGCAGAGGATGGATTGTACCACCAGCAATGCAGGTGGGGGGGGTGTTACCAGAGTGTGTATAAAACGCCATTAGTAACACGAGGAGGTCAGAGATCGATATCACCCAGCATGCAACGTCTTTTCCCGCCAACCCCCCCACAACTCTGTTCCCCTCAGACTCCATTAATGAGTCACGGTGCAGCAGACACCACTGCTTCCATCAGTGGGGTTTGTGTGAGTGAATGTGGGGGGAAGGGTCTCGCTTTGGGTTTCAGTGTATGCTGCCTGATAGCTCTCTAGTCTGGGTCGTGTGCAGCACATACGCTGTGTGTGTGTGTGTGCGTGTGTGTGTGTGTCTGTGTGTGTGTGTGTGTTAGAAGAAACTGACCATGATGTACTGCTTACATTTTAAACAGACACCATAGGCAGAAGAGTGAGACTGAAGGATAGGAGAGTAGGGGGAGCAGGATTTCAGTTGAAATAAGATCAGGAAGTAAGAAGAAGAAGAAGAAGAAGTAGGAGAACGAAAACAAAGAAAAACAAAGAAGACGCCAACACAGAAGAAGGAGAAGGAGAAGATGAACAAGAACAAGGAGAGGAAGAAGAAAAACACAAAGAAGTAGGAGAATAAGTAGAAGGAGAAGAAAAAGACGAAGAAGAAGAGAAAGAAAGACCACAAAGAACAAGAAATAGAGTAAGACGAAGGCGAACAAGTTGAAATAGACAAAGCAAAAAGGAGAAGGAGAAGACAAAGAAGAAGAACAAGAAGATGTAGAACTAGAAGGATAAGATGAAGACATAGTAGAAGAACAAGGAGAAGGAGGAACAGATTTCTTTGTCCTAGAGTCAGTTCAAGATGGATTCCTCTTACACCGATGGAGCCCCAAAGTGTTCAATATTTAAGGAACAGTGTGCAACATTTAGGTGGATGTATTGGCAGAAATGGATACGTTTCCTTAAGAATATAATCACCTGAAAATAATAATGTTTTTTTGTTACCTTAGAATGAGCCATTTATATCTGCATATGAAGGCCGCCATGTTTCTACAGTAGCCCAGAGCGGACAAACCAAACACTGGCTCTAGAGAGAGGCATTCACCGCACACAGGAGAAGTTTCAGTTGGTTGTAATCTGCAAACTCACTGCTAGATGGCGCCAAATCCCACACACACTGCACCCTTAAATAAATATGTAATATTGAAATAAATAACCAAAATAAATAAAAGTCATTACTATGAATTATTATGTGATTATCACTCATTTTCAGTTTTTATTTCATAATGTTCCTTTTCTTGTGGTGAAGTCACAGCCCTCTCACCTTTCACTAATCTCCCCCCCCCCCCCCCCGGCCTCTTCAACTACCTGTGTGGATCGCAGCTGTCCGTCGCTCTAACTATCTGTTGTCAGAAGCAGCATATGCTCGTTAGCAAAACAGGAGTCTCGATGTTCGGCCCGCGGCCTCTAAAGCCAGACACGAGAAACACGGCGTCTGCATGCAGAGCAGCTTGGTAAGAAAACCGAGAGCGTCAGTCTTCATATCAGGAATCAACCCACCGATGGTGAAACCGCAAACACAAGGAAACAGACACCGGAGTGACGGGGAAACTGATCCAGGATATCTCCCACACACACACGCACGATATCTCACTTTCAGAAAGGTCCTGATCTCCTCCGTTTGTGTGAAAACAGTCATGGAGATGAGGGCGGATCAGACGAGGCGGGGGCTGACCTCGGTGGAAAATTCCTTCACCTGGTGCCTGGAAACTATGCGGTACGATAATGTTCTGCTATGTGGTGGATTCGTCTCTCATACGCCCAGAATAACATGATTTATGCAGCAGCTTTCTCACAGAGGAGCAGTCAAAAAAAGTGCTTTAAAACAAAGTGAGGAAACAAGAGAATGAATAACAAACACTAAAAGAATAAAACATGCAAATAATGAAAGATAAAACATGCAAAAGAAGAGTGACGGTTAGTTAAAGGCAATGCTGAATAAATAAGTTGGTAGTTTAAAAATGTTCAAGGAACATCTCTTAAAGCCTTCTGTGGGGAATTCCTCAGTCAGTGGTGCATTCAGTATTT